GAAATGAAATGTTTAATGCACACGGGGTATGGTGTCTGGCTGAGCCATCCAAACCTTTTAGATTCGTTTACAATCACTTTGGGTATGGACATCAGACGCATTCTTATGACCAGGCTTCTTAATTTGATTTGTAGGGTTTAACGTCCCAAAACCACCATATGATTATGAGAGATGCCGTAGTGGAGGGCTCCGGAGATTTCTACCGCCTGGCATTCTTTAACGTGCACCCAAAGGTGAGCACACGGGCCTACCACATTTACGCCTTCATCGGAAATGCAGCCGCCGCCGCAGCCGAGATTTGAACCCACGACCTGCGGGTCAGCAGCCGAGTACCTTAGCCACGAGACCAACGCGGCGGGGCATGACCAGGCTTCTTACTCGAGTGGTAGTAGAAAGCGTTATCACCACAAGAATCTCGCACGGACACCCCTGAGTGAACGTTCTGCGACTGCTTGCCGCCGGCGGCCGGGAGAGAGACCACAAAGATGGATACGCTGCCCCTTCGACGCTGGCGCCATCTCGTGGGCCACGCCCCCATGCAACCCTCCAATAAAAATACACGCAGCGGCGCTGCATTTCGTTCTGTCGAGCAGATTGACGGCGGATAAAATGCGTTGCCTACAGTTTACTGTTAATGTCTGCGCTCTTCTCTACTGAATCGATGCGCGACGCCTATGCAACGTTATTACCCGCGAGTGAAGCGCCTTCTGCCTTTCACAGGGACGCTGTCCCTGGGTGACTCTCTTCACGCTTTCGCACTAAATCACGCCTTTGCTGTGTTGTTTGTACGTGGTTAGCTCGCGTTCCACCGGCTACGCACTGCTGTAGCATGACTGAACTACTTATTTACATCTTTGTCATTGGCGTACTAAAAAAAAAAAGAAAGAAATATCATAGAAAGCCCGCATATCTGTGCGAATAGTTCAGTACCGCCATTCGCACCTTATACGCATATTTTTTTCTACTCTTACTCTGTTCACCATGAAATCTGGGATAGTCGATAAGCCTAGTCAGGAAAGCTTAATAGCTGACGGCGCTTTGCGCTGCACCGCGTTTACCACGTGTACACTCACGCGTATGGAGTCTCTCATTATCATATGGTGGTTTTGGGACGTTAAACCTCACATATCAATAAATCAATCAACACTTCGGCCAGTTGCCACCAGGTGGCGACTCTGCTCGATCTTGCGACTAAAGCCCCTAGATGTTGGAAAGTAGCGACGCTCCTTTATCCACGCCGGCACTCTCTCGGCGCGCCGGCAACCTCCTCTTTTTTCACCCCCTCTTTCGCGGAGCCCGCGCATCCCAAGCGCTGAATGGCTGCGGCGGGCGATACCGCCCAGTCAGATGACCCTGACGTCACGAAAAGCGCGCGCAAGCAAACTTCGCGCGCTTTTCGTCAATCACGCACGCCATGAACCCTCCAGGCGCCACGCCAGTCCTGCCGCTCTGAGTGTGTGGTTTTTTTTTTTTTTTTTTGCGTAGAATCGTGAGCTTCGTTTTTCGTGGCAATGCCTGGCTGTTGCGCGTATCAGTGCAGCAGCAGGTCAGAGAAAGGAGTAAGATTATTTTATATCCCCCGAGGAGATAGGAATAGGAATGCCGTGCGCAGAAAGCAGTGGATCCACAACATCGGGAGAAAGGACTTCGCCCCTTCTAAACACGTCGTTCTTTGCGAGGTTAGTGTTACCGATTTCGTTAAATCTCTAGATAAAGTCGTACGAAGATTTTAATGCTCTTTGCATCGCTGGACTCTTCGTTCAGTTTAATAGCGAGCACATATAAATATGGATATAGCTGGGTCTGAATGAGTCGCTGAGCTTTTTTTGTAATTCTCTGTGCCCTGAGATAGTTTTCTTGTGTTTTAGCGCGTGCGTTAGTTTTCTTAATGTGTGCAATTTGTAAATTAACGTGTGTAATTCCTACGCATGTGTGTGTGTGTGTGTGTGTGCGTGCGGGTGTGCGTTTATGTGTGTGCATGTGTGCGCCTGCGTGTATGCGTGTGTGTATGTATGCGACTGCATATGCGCGCTTATGTGTGTGTGTATGTGTGCGCCTGTGTGTTCGCGCGTTTCTGTACGTCTGTATTCGCGCGTGTGTATGTGCTTGTGCGGACGTGTGTGCGTGCGTTTGTCTATGTATTTGCGCCGGTGCGTGTGTGTGTGTGTGTGTGTTCCGCGTTTGATGAGGCAGCTAAGGCTTTCGTCTTAATAAGTCAATTAACAACCGCTCAATGATATCTTGGCAGCAGCCGTAAAGTAAATAGCCATACGCACGGAAGCAAAGTTACGTATCTGGTATATGTATGTATTGTGCGTGTATGCTCATATAAAGAAAGAGCCACGTACGCGCTTTTCGTAATGGCTCTCTTCTGATAAACTTTACATCCTGAATTCTGTGAGTTAATTATAGCGTAACATAGTCTTAGAAGCTTCCATCTGAGCGGTGGGTTTTGCTTTTTTTTTTAACAGACTGAGGTAAGTCCCAAAGTTAATGGAATGCAATATCTCGTCGTTTCATCGTGACGGAAGCCAGGCACGCACGGTGACTTCTATGCTTGCTTTTCGCCAACACAACATGAATTTTACAAAGCGACACTGCAGCACTTATCAAGTTCTCGTCCATACAATGTGCTGCCTACATTACATGCGCTTAATACACATCCGCGTTACAGACAGCCGAAGCGGCGACGGAGAGGTAAACCGCTAAGCCGCCAGCTGGTATGCTCATTTTTTCGAAGCGCTTCCGCTCGTATTTATCGAATCGTCTTAAAAAATATGTCTGCCATAATGTTCTATGGGAAGCCTACTTTCGTCACGACTCTTTCTTAAGGGACATATTCTCGTATAATGCTTCAAGGAGCCGATTAAACAAGCGCGCGCATTGAATCTAATGCGGCTGCAGCGAGCCAGTGGAGGGTTCAGCGTGCCGTGCGCACCGCGCCGGCCGGGAGAGGGGAGAAATCCGAGGAGAATTGAGGAGGAAAACGCGCGCGCGGAGTAGAGTGTCGCTACTTTCTAGATCTAGGGGCTTTACTTGCGACCAATAGTGCGCGCCCTCAAATAGTCACCATTTACAGGGGGGCATTTGGGCAGTGCTAAACAGATGGTCACGCCTGTCAGTGGGTACTGGAGGGTGCGCACTGAACCGTTGAGAATGGCTGCCCCTCGAGAGGTCTTGCCAAATTAGTGATTTGGATTTTTCGTTCTTATTTTCCAGCACTTACGAGTAGCCCTTTAAAGGGGCCCTGCAGCACTTTTTGAGCGTATCAGAAAACGATGCCGATTGGTAGTAGAGGCTTCCGAGAACACGTGAGCCAAATGTTATAGCACAGCAGGCGGCCTAGAATTCGCAATAAATTATCGGTCAGCTAGAAATTGCTTTCTCTTCCCTTGAAAAAACCACAGAATATGCCCAAAAATAACACGTAGACGACCCATTATCAGCCATTGGCTGATTTGGGCATGGTGCGCTCGGTTGTTACAGAAATTGCCGTGAGAGGCCGTCACTTGTCCACGCGCGCCCGATCACACTGAAAAAAAAAAAGGCGTATTCAATGAAAAAAAAAAAAAAGAAAAATTGCTCAAAGTCACGAGGCGCGCGTGACGGTATTTGTTTGCCCTTCCCGTCTCTCCCTGCTTAGCTTCCAGCGCTTTCGTCGGTACGAGAGAAGAGAGAAAGGGATTGCAGCGTGTGACGAATCTTTGCAGCTGCACTCGTACTGGATGAATTCTTAAAACTTTCGTGGCGTTGAACTTGTGAGGCAATACGCTTTTCCTGTGAATGAATTCCATGGTTACTAAAAAAAAAAAGTGTTTCAGGGCCCCTTTAGGCAATACTAGGTCTACTGAAAGTGACTTTTTTGTTATATGTATTTCCGGACGACTGCACGTCGCAAGTCTCGAGCCAACAAACTTGAAAAGCATCTTCACTTCGCTACATTCAGACGGAATTTTAACAAGGGCAAAAACAGCGCGAGGCTTGCAACAGCGAAACTGGACAGTTTCGAAGACTAATCTGGTCGCGCCTGAGCTGTTTCTCTCTAGCTAGGGGTGTAGGTTGTTTCTATACGTTGGTTCCATATCCATTTTGCTAGGCTTTAGCTAGGTCACGGTAGTTCAATTTGACGTTTATTCTCGGCGTAAATAGGTTCGCGTTAAGCCACAGGCAGTTACAGACACATGGATGTTCCGAACTCCAGAGACGGAAGGACGCGCTGAAACCGCACGTTTGCTCCTCTCATAGATCTACGGGCAGTTTGTCATAGGCGTAGGGCTTCCATGGTTTCAGCGTATTCTCGCAGCTAGATGTATTTTTTCCCGTTGCCCGGTATTCTTTAGTATACTACGCGGGTTCTTCGGCTCTCCACCGTCGCTGCGGAGCCATTTGTTGAACTATCTGTTGCCTTCACTTATGGTGAACGATTGGTAAGGAGTTAGATATATTCAAACTCTGTGGACCATACCCTGTACATGGCGATGATAGTTATCTCATAGGCTACACAAGCTACGGCCAGCCTGAACGCCATTGCTGTTACAAAAGTTTTTTTTTTTTTTTTTGGCAATTCAGATTAGATGTCTTGTACGGTACGAGCATGGTCTGCGTATACAACCTCTGGATTCGCTGATATCTTTTTATTTTTCTATTTTTCACTTTCAGTTGTTCTGCTGCTTTCAGAGCGTTTTGTTCTTTTATTTTTATTTTGTTTCTTTGTATGTGTGTTTTATACTCCCTGGTTCTGGGCTGTTATTGGCATATTTATCGATATGTAGGTGTTGAATATATTATGTTGTTTATTTCACGACATATGAGTCATTAGCACCTATTTAGATGCGACATGTATCACCTCATATCACAAAACATCCAACTTCCTTTGGTCGTCCCTGCTAGTATGAAGTACTGTGATAGAACTTAAAACGGCCATGCCTTGTAGGTCACCCGTTTTATTATGCGTTATGGTACCCATATTTCTAGACCAGGAATCAGCCGAAACTGATGCATCTTTTCATCAAATGGACGCTTTATTTAGTTTAAGAACGTACGCACAGAAAAGAGCTGTACACATCGCAATCAGCCAAGCCACGACTCTCGGATCTTCACCGTAGTGTACATGGGTGAGCCACAGTATATACAGAAAAAAAAGCAACAAGAAATATAACTAGGCATCCACTCAAAAAAGTTCACAAGCACCGAAACTAGAGGAAGGTAGCGACTAAATGTGTAACGAAACGGTCACGCGAAGGAGTGTCTCAGTATGCTGAGTGCAGGAAAAGTTTGACTAGAAAGTCTCATCCGCATTTCCCACCTCTATCACTGGGAGAGGTGTTAAGTGAAATTTTGAAATATTTTACATAACTGTGAGAGATGGTCGATATCCTTTTACACGGAAAGAAAGAAAGACGAAAACGTAGGCATAGTTTGCACTTAAGCATATTACTACGGCAAGGGAACGACATCAGGCAAGATTCTAGCCACACCAACATGAATACAAGTAAGATATGAAAAACACTATACATGGAAAAACGCTGCCGGGAGGGGTGATCTTAACAATTGACCGAAATCAACCTAAAAGAAGTCCAGGTTCAAATCGGAAGAAAAATAGTGTTATGGGCAACCGTGACTACTCTCATCGCTGGAAGCATGCAGTCACATAAAAGCTGAAGAGGCGCAATTACTGCTTCTGAAAATTACCTGCCTGCCCACCAGTATGCAGTGCAGTATGTGCAACGTGTCTTATATGTGTTGTTGTTTTTTAACCGACACTTCACGTGCAACTTGAAGTTTGCCCAGATGTTGAGCATTTTGCTGATGCCACTGCAATGAACAGAGCAGTGACGATTACAGCAGCCAACACAGGATGTCCGAAGGGTTATGGGAAAAAAATAGCTACAAAAGCAGGCAGTTATACAAAAAATTCTTGTGAATCGAAAAAAAAAAACTCTTGCCATGAGCTCTTTCTGACTGCTAGATACGGTATGTAAGGCTACATTTCAAGGTGTACATTAAAAAAAATGAAAGCTATATACAGCAGCTTTGCAACTTCTGTGCATATTTGCGAACAGACCTATTAACACCCGAAGCAGGCGAAGTAAATTGATACATCACACTAGCTTTATGATTGTGGATGTTTTTCAGAGTTTCTCTGGATCAAAATACGCTGCCAGGTAGAAAATATGCAGAATGTCATGAATGCAGAGTTAGTTTCGTAGACAATGCAAGTATCAGTACCAAAGCTAGAAGGGCCATGGACACGCTGGTGGCCAAAGAGGCGACCTTGCTCCTTACTGATTCATTTCGCTGAAGTTCTTCAGTCCAGTTATATGCTCGCGTTTTTGGTTATATAAATTACACGGGGAAGTGAATGGGTGCGAAGAGCTGGATTGCCTGGTACGTTCATCCACGTGTCGTAATTCCAGCGCTAACCTTCCGCACACAAGAAAAAGTTTAACCTGAGCAACGTCGGGCCGAACTTTTCATCGGTATAACGACGTCTACGGAATCCACGCGATGCTTCCGAAAGCTTGAAAGAATCTCATATAACATACGTTCGTGCTTCAAAATACACTGTAACGCCGGCATTTATCTTGCGACACTATGCCTCTAGATTTCATATACAAGTGTTTGTCGTGGTGGCTGAAGCTTACAATGTACGTCGTGTAACCACGCAAGAAACAAACATTTCCTCAATGTAAATTAATGTAGCGCATGCGCAGCTCCGTTCTCTCGGCACCATTGGCCTGATGTATTGCAGATGACCGCTGGGCGTAGCGTCATAAGGAAGTATCCAGGCTGTACAGCGCGTAGTGTATGTGCAGTAACATGTTCTCACGGTGGGAACAGCTGAAGTGGTTTGTGAAGAGTAAAAGCTTGTACTGCAGGGGACATTGTGCACAAAAGGTGTTTAAACTTGCACGTAAGACTCACGTGAACACTCAATCGCCAGTACACAATAGGCTCCGGTTTTATCTGAAGCTTTTAGCGTATTCTTACACGCTGACTCTTGGCAAGAAGTATTTGAAGCACCAAGAACGCGTCGTGCGAATTGACAGACACCAACTCCTTTTCAGTTATTGTTTGCTGACAGACTTATTCAATAAATGCTGACTGCAACGTATGACACACTATGAGATTTTCCCCTGAATTACCAACGTAAGCGTTGGCTGTTTCAGAAATCGCCCTGCACGTAGGCATGAAGGAGTCCTTGGTAATAATTACCACGCCTTACTGCGAGCGTCTCCAAAACCATTAACAGACATAGTAATAAGAAATGTTAACAGCTATGAGCACCATGAAGTTCCCAACGACTTTTCGCCTCCACTTACTAAAAAGTCCCATTCTCATTCGAATCAAAATCGCATCCTTCTTTGTATTACAACTTCTGTGCGATAATTGAGGTTCAGTGAAAGATTTCTTTAGCCGCGCTAAAAAATAGCAGCTACCGCTTAAACGTCTCAGCAATGTTCACAGGTTGCACAGTATTCAGCTGAAAACGTGCTGAAATTATGACTCACGGCTTTCACAAGCACTATGACGAAATGAATGAAACTGCCTCACTGACACAGTAGTGCTAAATTTTTTTTTACCAGTTCCTAGTGGCGTAAGAAAGCCGAACACCGGATAGATATCACAGCTCTGAACTGCCACTTTTTAGAGTGGAATGAAACGCTTAAAGGCGCTTGTCACTGAGGCAGGAACCTTCAAATTCGAAAGTTGTAAGTTCTGCTCTCATTAGTAGTATATTGCGTTTTCGTCGATATTAGCTTAGTTTCTTTCATTTGTGTGAGCTAAAAATGAGGTTGTTAAAGATGCTCGTCACTGGGAAGAGCGTGCCTTTACAATATCGCAGTGTTGCAAATTATCAAAGGGTGATAAGGTATGATGAAATGTTCAATGCATCAGTCCAGCAAAGTGGAGCCCCGGTCACGTATCAGACTCCATTGCCCATCTTTGCGTTGCCAGAGTCACATTTCCCTAGTGGAGAGCAAAACATCAGGTCCCGGATCAAAACTCTTCGTCCGAACTTGCAGCTAGGAGCTTGATTCTGTCTGCCGCCTTCATTTTCCGAAAAGTTTTCTGTGTGAAGAAAAAAGAGCAAATCATAATTAGGTAAGCAGTAAAACTGATAGGTGGGCGAGCTGGTATGTATCCATATCTTAACATCTTTCAGCGCGCACACATGACAGGCACAAGAAAGAGACGAAAGACATGTAAGAGACAGAGTTACGCTCGTTTGTCTATTTCTTGTCTCTGTCTTCCGTGCGCGCTAAATTAAGTTAAAATATAGGTAACCAGTACCAACATACATAGAAAACCAATCTTGTATTTAAAAAAAATAATGTTTCATTGGGTCGCCGTGCACTATGTAGAACATAAACTAATGAAGCTCAAAAACTCACAAAGGTGATCATTCACAGTTTACAAAAAGTGTAACTTCACAGTTCACTAAAAGTGCAATAACTAATACATGAAAGTAACTAAACTAAGATCGACAAAAACACAGCATCCGACTGGTGTGAACAAAACAGACAATTTTCGAATTCGAAGGATCTAGGTCTGTGCCCCACCACTACAAAAATCCGTGGTTTGATGCCATCTTCTTTTTTCACATAATCATTTGTTTTTGATTAGGTTGGGCCTCACAAACAGAAGAGCCTTTTGATCCAGTGATCTATGACCCTTTTCAAGACGGTGTCTCAGGTTGATTGTGTAGGCATAAAAAAATTTGAAGGCGTGCTTGATCGAAACGAACGAAATAACAAACGTCATTGTATATGGCAATTCTCTAACTTACCCCGATAAGGCATTAGTGGCATATATGAAAAATCAGATAGTGCTTTCGCATCCTGTTATACATAATCACAACTAACGTGAAAGTCAATTTCAGTTAACAAAAATCAGGCACTGTATATTGTTAGAAAACGTGAGTATGCGGCGAGTATAAGTGCATGAGCTTGCGCATTTTATCATTACAAACCAGGAAGGAATTTTCTTGTCTTCTCACTTGGTAAATATTAAGCCACCATTGTGTTCAGACGCTTTGTAGGTGCCGTAGTATATTGCTCTATAATTTCGAGTCTTTTACAAAATTTCGATGAGGTTTAATTTTTTGGTTACGTTAGCGTTACAGGTTCGCGCTACGAGATGGGAAACATATGAGCAAGCAATAAGGTGCAACATATTGGGCACAGAACGTCAATCATTATTAAAAATATTAAAACAGATGGCTGGCGCAATGTGTTCTGTTCCAAAGTAGGCACATGAATAGGCTTCGAGCTGCCGTTAGTTGCATGTAAAGGAAACAGAAAGGTGGGTAAATGGGAATTCTCAAAACTGCGTGTGCTCGCTTGGGGTCCGCCCTCGTCTGTGTGAGCTGTGACGTTAACTAACGACATGAAGTAACTACAGATTGCTGATTTCACTTACAGGGCAGTGGCGTAGCGTTTCGCTTTCTCTTCTATATTTTTTGTAATGGAATCAACTTGATTGGACAGTGTACACGGCACATATAAACCTAAACTGGCCTCTTGAAGGGTAATATATTCCACTTGGGTCAGCACTGTTACTAAGATTTAAGGGCTGTTTCTGTCCGCATAGTGAAGAACAGCAGCCAGAGATGGTGATGTTCACTAGGTAATGGCGTGGCCCTTCATGCATTACCTTCACTTACCACGAGGTAAGTGAAGGTAATGAGATTTTGAGACAAGGAGATTTTGAGACAAGTAAATTGTTGGTATTGAGTATTGAATATGCCGACTTTTTTAGTAGTGCATAAGTATACTCAAGCAGCTTTCGCCTCATGTAAACAAGCATTTTTAAATTATGAAAATCTAACAGTGTTTGCTATGAAAGCGTTGCCGTGCCAATACTAGGCAGAGAGGTGTTGTTTTGGAAAGGACGTGCAAGCACTCTTCACATGACAGCTGTTATGCAGAAGTACAAGCACTTGATAAAGCGAGAAAAAGCAAGAAGGAGAGAAAAATATAGAGAAGTAAAGGGAATATATACATAAAAAGATAGAAAATAAAAAAAATACACAGGGGCAAAATAAAAAAAAGCGAGAATGAGAGCGATAGAAAGAAACAGGAAGATAGAACTATAGCGAAATAAAGAAAAAAAGACAAAAGAACATGAAGAATAGAACAAAAGAGAAAAAAGGAGAGAAACGAAGAAAGACAGGGGGGAAAAGCAATATAGAAATGGTGTGAAGGCCCAGAAATGGATCAAGTGAATCAGAAATAAATGCGAAGAAACAGAGGCAAAAGACAGACTTGTGATATTCATATGATAGATAGATGACAGAAAAGAGAGAAAGATGGAGAAAAGAAGCAGAAAAATGAAAGTAAAAAAAAAAGAAAGGCCGCCTAGCACCATTCTTCCTTCTGGCTTGGAACCACTCGGGCAAAACACTAGAAATATACCAGCTTGAGGTAAACGAGGACATCTGGTACGCAGAGCCGTTTTGTAGTGGACTAGGAAAGGTAACATACAAAACATACGATGTCTCTAATGCAACATGTACTATTCCTTGCTGCAATATACTTCTACACACCATTACTATAGTAGAATAACGTACAAAATTAACGCATGAACATCTCGGACACCTTTAAGAAAGAAGCATTGGCGAGAATGAAAGGAACAACGTTCCTAAAACAGTAACAACCTTTATATATAACTCTAACTACATTGCCTATATATTTTTGAAACGTTGAATACATGTAATGAGACACGTTTTCTATGTATGCTTGACTTAGAGTCACGTTTTACTGCAGTGTCAAATGAAGTTGAAAGTTGCACTAGCAGAGTGCTCTTCAAGGGCAATACGCTCCTTTCAATCGGACGTTAATATTTCTTTATATTTATTCATTAAATGCATGTTTACCTTTCACAATAGATGCATTTTTATTCATAATACAGGAAAATACAAACACACCTATGGAGAGCTTTCACAAGATATTTCACAAAAACATAGCAACCTCGAACTTATGAGTAGGGCTCCGTGTTGTCAGAGTTTATTTTTGTTGATATCGGAAAGACGTTGTTTTTTGGAGTTTACTTTTTTGGCGAGAAGACGGTGTTTGTCGTAGTTAGCTTATTATAAATCCACAAAGCTACGAAATACAGGGTTTAATTTCGCATTAATATATACCCTAATAGCAGATGAAATGATACCTTAACAAACACTCGAAGAGTTCTCCAGTTGTCTCGAAGCTGTGAACGCACTGAAACATGTACAAAAAGCCACGCACACTTGAATACAAAGGACCCACGTTTTTAATTGTTGGAACCTTAAAGGTTGTTGTAATAGAAGCAAGCATACTTTACTAGTTCCGTGTATTACATTTTGTCTGCCGCTCCCGAGTGCCGCCAGGTGACTGCGTATAAATTTGTTATTTCGGGCTCCCCGGGGCCCTGGATACGCTGGCATCGCTTGGTGCACGTTCGACAAGCTTTTTGTTAAATGTTTGGTGGTGTGGTTTACGAGGTACTGTTGGCATGGGGTAAAGCTAATATCGGCCAAACCGGCCACTCTGTCGAATGCTTTATGAGAATTAGTTCTTTCTATAAAAAAAATGAAATATACGTTCATAATAGCCGTTAAAATTGTATTGACAAATATTTTACCGCTCCGTGCTTATCTGTTTTTCATCGATTTTATCCCAAGAGATGCAGTACTTGTAACTCACCAGTGAACACATCGGCCAGTAGACGCTGCTTCACCCCTAATTAAGGGTCCACTCATCGACTGCATAGTTGAGGAGGCGCGAATGTCCGAACTGAATTTCGGGAAGCGAAATGATCACTCTAAAGAATGGTAAGCCGAAGCATGCAGTTTGGCTTTTAACGATGCCTTCCACACGCGGTAACCTGAAGCGTTTTTTTGTTGAAGGTATTTCTCTCTACCTTTCCCTTGCTATACTCAATTATGTTCACTTGCGTCATCAGTTTCAACCACTCAGACAAGAACAGGCTGGGAAACGAGCTTACCGGGTCTATTTTGCGGTGCAGCTTGCGGCGGTTGCGCGACCGACACCGTCGGCGACAGCAGCCGATGCAGGCCAGCGAGCACAGGATGAGCACGGCGGCCGCCACTCCGCACGCGATTGGGATGAGAATGCTCATCAGGTAGTTGTCCTCCTGTAACGAAGCAGGAAATGCAATGGAATGCTGGGGCCTCACATATACGCACCTGAGCAACCTAACTAAGCTTGTCGGGGTAAAAAAGAACACACAGAAAGTGTACGTAAACTTTGAAATGGTAACGATCCCGTACGTATTTACCGCCACTGAAACTGCATGCGTGTGTTTAGGATGCGAATCCAAAGTCTAAAAGGTATGATACTATAGAGAAACAGCAGGCGTTGTTGTGACGGCTGAAGATTATCATTTTTAAGGCTAAGACGTGCCCATGTGGATTATTGAGGCCATAAAATCGCTGGAAAGGATTACTTCTCTTTGCGATTGATCCAGTACCACGTTACAATTCGAGAAATCTGGCGCCAGAACAGCTTGTTGCCGAGTGTCTTGCCATCCGGGGCTCGGTGGATAACGTCGTTATGATGTAGCGCCCTCTAATAAGCTTGCCGCCTTAGTTGCAAATTGTGTGCTTCAATAAGTAGCGGGATGGATTGTGCTTCACGAAGTAAGCCGAACATTACTCGGAGGGCAACACGATAATCCCGTTCCAGCTGAGACATTAAAGCTGGCGGTACATTCGGGACTGGCAAGGAATATATCACGCAAAATAGTATAGATGATTGGTACACATGCACAACCGCCTTGCGCGTCTAGATGACATAATTCCATACGTAGGGCGTTAGCACCGTATTATAGCATCGTGGTTGGTGTGAAGTGAAAAGAAATTATGGCATAAAACCTTGGAAAACAGCAAGCCTTATGAAGCAGAATGGTGCATATGGCCTTTGAAGGCTTTGTGACAGTATTGCAATAAAATAGTGAGACGTGCCAAAGCCTTCTCTTGATTAAACAGACGCCCAACCTTTGCAGATGTCGTTTGCGCAAAATCAGAATGCGTAAAGCAAGCCTATTCATATGCGCAAAAGTAGCGACAAATGACATTTATGTCGCATATTGATAATAGCTAACGTTTCACTATTTCACAGAACCAATGCGTATTTCCAAGGACGCATATCGAATAAATGCGCTGGCGTACTGAATCCTGCTTATGTTTTTACGGAGAACATCAGCGCCGAGCAATTATATGCGAGTAGGTCTTCTTTGCATTTCAGTTTCCTTCACACCCTTGCATAAAAGGCAAATCTCATCTACATTTTTGCCATCGAGCGAATCGTACTCATTGCTCACTACATTACTGACGATAATTTGGTTATGCTTAAAATTATTCTATATAATTCAAGACTACTGTATAAGTGCGTGTCCATATATCTGATCCAACATAATTACCTAGTGAACAGGCTCGACAGGCAACACGAAAGAAATTATTCTGCTGTTTTCAGTGGAGCAGAGACTCTTTACAGTCCTCACAGTATTGCCAAATCAAAATGGTGCGCAACAAATGTCTTAATAAGTTAATACGCAGACTCACCCGCCATGTTATCCAAGAAGTGAAGAAGTACTTGTGAGCTGAAAATAACAGACACATCGGGTTCAATGCATATCTCGATGAACAAACGTGGCATAGAGTAAAAATGCCCGCATATAGCACTCCGAATAAGGACTTTTTCACTTTTTGTAGGGCGGGTAGCGGGAATAGTAGGCGTACCTGCATTTTGAAAAATACAGAAAGGGATGGCAAAAAACACAAAAGCTCGTCGTGTCTTTCATTAGCTAATACTAAATGTACGCGAGTATGTTCCTGTTTGTTCACCTGAAATGTGCTTATAAGATCGCACCCTTAACACAATTTAACAGTTATTTCATCAAAAATACGCATTTACAAACGTAGCACCAGACCTCCTGCTAAAACAGACATTTTCGCCCTATCACTTCGCTCATCGTTCTAGCTCGAAGCGTAATTTGGTGAGTCGCTTAGGTTTTGTACAGGGATCGGCGTCTCATTTTTTTCGTATTAAAATTACCATTATTACCAGTGAATTAAGGCTCGGAATAATCTGTCATAACACCATAATAAAAAACGAATATACATAGCAAAAAAGTTTAGCTTTGCGAAAAATTTTAAAGTTTGTGTAGAGGTTACCAGGTTTACTTACAAAAATGCCAGCACTTCCTAAAGTTTACTGTATAATGTCACAATAGTGCAATAAAAGAAGACATGTGTAGTACTATTCGTTCATGACACATTGAACTCTTCTCAAAGAACAATGCTCCACATTGCAGCAATTCTAAGGTTATGGCCTTACTCATGGCCATCCAAGAAGTGTAGGTATCAAATAACCGGTTAAGTGCTTTCGGTGTTGTCAAGTACAGCAAAGATAAAGCAAGAACTGCCGCTAGAGATTGTCTCAAATAAAACAGATTGTATAGTGCTTAATTGTGACATCGCAGAAGGCCCTACAACGGTCAGCATGTCTAACTCGAACGCTCCACCCCATGGCCTTGACCAGCTTGACGCCAGCACCGCCTAGCGTTGGACACGGTTTCTTTACTGTAACTATAGATCGATGGAGTGAGGGTCGATTCACTAGTAGATTTCTGTTTCACTTCTGCTTTACTGGTGGATCGAGTACAGGCACTTTGCAGGTCCGTTTTTTTTTTCGTTTTTGTTCGTGGCAACGTTCTCACGCACGGCCATGAAATTATTTACAGTGTGCTTATTTCGGCAATGAGACATTGCGTGAGACAGCTTACGCGCCAAGATAAGATACGGCAATGAAGATGATCGGCGCACGTGGGAACACAGTCACGAGCGAAAGGGGACAAACATGGATCTGGAGAGTGAGGGAATCCGACCCGCTGCTATGGCTGTAGTGAAACAGTTACTAGTGAAATCGATGCGCACTGAATCTATTGTCAGCTGCAGCAAAACATACCACGTCCAATGCTTGGCTGTCCTGGCGTCAATCAAAGCGGGTCAAGGCGACCCGGCGTTGCATTCGAGTCAATCGTGCGGATGTCAATCGACTGTGCATCATAGAAATTTTCATCGAAATTTTGTGTGAGAAACGTGAAACGGAAACTATTAACTCACCTTTCATACATGTGTTTGAATTCGAGTGGTCAATATAACGAACCAATGAATTGTCGAAAACTTTGTTATGTAGTATGGCATAGAAGCGACTGGAATTACTCATTCTAAATCAAGGGTTAAGTGAAGGTATGAGTGAACTTCATTCGGCTAAATAACGGCTGTCCTATGCATGCAGGTAACAATTTAAAACTTGGCACTGGATCGATTGAGGCGCCTGTAGATAATATACGGGCGTTTCCGACTATTGTACGCTTCATCAGCTCAACAGCTGTAAGACAACCAGAGCAGCAGGTGAGCACGCACAGGCAAAGGGTTGTGATTATCAAAGGCAATTTTTTTGTTGCATGCAAGAATAAAAGGTACACGTGCAGACAAGGCTATATGCGAAGCAAAACGGAAGCCCAAGCACAAAGACTGAGTTTACGCCTTTGCACCTAAAATAATTGTATAAAGAATTCTCGCCAAGCAACTCTACTTTCGGTCACACTGTACTCTCTCTTGCATCACTTATCTCTGTCCTTCTTAACACTAAGGCCATCCTTAATATCTGTTATGTTCGGAGGAATATTCAAAACCAACGTTCAACAATCTTTTAATAGTGACTGATAAAAAGAACTTCACAATAAACACCAGAACAATGCCATACGTTTTTCTGTTTCGAACAGCCAAGAACATTTTCCCACTTCCACACGCCCACTCATCATCAGGCACAGAACACTCCGAGATGAGGATCAGTAATACAGTACTCACGCTGTGGCGTCTTCACGACTTCGCCATCAGAGCCCACGCCATAATGAAGCACGGCGTCTCCTTCGTGGCTCGTCACGTTGGAAACGTTGGAGTGTATCGTGGCGTTAGTTTGAATAGGCAGCGGAGTAGTGTGATTGTGCGCTGCTTGCAGTGTTTCGTTGGTCGTTGTGACGTTGCCTTCACCACTGGTCCCTGGCGGAGCTTTGGTAGTAACTATCAGAGCCGTGTTCGGTGTAGTGCCTTCATTGTTAGCCGGTGCCTTTGAGCCCTGCATGTATTTTACATAACTTACGGTTACACTTCTTCAAATGCAAAATGAAAGCAGGGTTGCTAGCCATATTTTAGTAATGTAATGAACGTAAAACAGAGAATGTAAACGAGAATACAGGACAAAACAGTCCTCACTATGAGAAGACAAGGTAGACGCGTAGACAAGGGCACAAGAGAAGAATTCAAAACAACACCAACTCTGATTCCAACCGTTTTGCTTCTATCCCTCTCTGCATGTCTACCTTACATTACAATAAATCCGCACAAACTACCTACCTTTTGGTGTTGTAATCCTGCAATATTTACGATATTCAAATGAACTAAGGGATGTAAATTACTGTCACATAATTGAGACACATTACAGAAATTTTCTGTTCTGGTGATGCCTTGATGATTTGCACTTATTCACATGCGTTACAATGTCCAAAACAATTTTTTTGGGAAAAGGACGCAGTCGCGAGTCCTTCCATGCCCACAGTAACGTTATAGGGAAGGGATATATACGGAGGAAATATGCACGCACGACACGCATATTTCCAAGAAAGACTCCCCTTATCAGATATTCATCCGCATAGTGTACCTCAATGAACATGCAATAGTAAATAACGATCTTGCTTACAAATTTAGAAAACAAAGTGTTAACTAGTCACTGCTCCTTAGTACTATCTTCATGTTTCACTTCCCGCATATTCACCTTTTATATAGCTTCGCGCTTGCTGCTGCACTGCAGGTCTTTTCTGTATTTTTTTGCACAATCGCGGTTCATAAGATCATTTCTATAGTACAATCACCGAGACGCATCTGCGATCTCGGAACGCACTCGACCACGATGGTGAGTCGTGGGTCTCCGCTTGAGCGTGAAGCTGGTTGCGGTAGCTGGGGCTCGTTTTCCACATTAGCGAGAAGTGTGGAACCTCACTAGCACCTGGACTAGCTCTTCTTATCAGTGCAAGATGCTGCCGAGATATGTTTAAATAACTGAATTCCAAGTTATATTCTAGCCAGAGTAATTTACATTCTTTTTTGTGAGGTAAAAAAGACACACACACATCCGCGGCCCACACCACAAACATATAGCAGGAAACGCCATTGCCTGCTACATTGGGGGAAGGATGTTCAGGAGCAGCAGACTCCACCCCAAGTCAAACCAGACTGAAAAAAAATAAGCTCTCAGTTTGGTGTGCAATGTTAACCTTGGTGCTAAAATGTTTGATTACAGCAGTGGGATAAAAAGAGTGCGCAGTTTTCAAGCCTCTCACGTCACACAACTTTACAATCAACAGATGTCGCTTCAGTTTTACTGCGAAACTGAAATAATCGTCTACGGAACCGGCGTTTGGTGCGAGGCCATAGGGCCATATAGACTTCGTCGCAGTAGTGTTCACCATTTGATGAACGATACAGAAGCCAAAGTGGTACGGAGTTCATTGTTTTACCATCTGATGAACAATACAGAAACCAAAGGGATACGGAGTTGACTGTAAAATGTTTTCCCATCCGGTGGACAATAGAGAAACCAAAGTGCTGCAAAGTTTACTGTCATATTGTTGTGTGACGTCTCAGAAATTAGACATAAATATTCTTGGGCTATCGCGTAACTCGGATAAATCTGTGACTAGTACACGTATTACGCAGTACCACATACACCGTCATAACGTAGGGTGCTGCTTGTACTTCCATCAGCGCTTCAGTAAGCCAAACAGTAAAGGGCGAGCAGCAACTGGATTGACCTGTTGTCGCCATTCCTTGGTGAAAGTGATACCTCGCCAACCCACTATAGCAGCTGTTATACTGCACATCCGAGTCGCGGGTGGTTTGATGCAAACCGATTTGTACCTGATGAAAAACCCACATTGAAGTTTACTAAAAGAAATAGCACGCTATTTTTAGGCATAACTGTGTATTGCCTAAACCAAATCATCATTATATCAGCAAAGAAGTGTGCCCACTTGCAACTTGTTTCTCGTATTTGTCATGTTCCACCCTGTAAGTCAGGTGATATGAGTTTTCTTGTGTTTTCAGTTGCAGCCTACTTCAAGTGCAATTCAATCGACTTATGCGTAATACTGGGTTCTTTAAGACGATCACTGCGAAATTTGATATGTCTCAAGCAACCATAGTTTTTTAAATGCTTTTTGAAGTTTCATGGACTGTTTTTTGTTAAAAAAATCAGCTAAAAAGGCAACACAATCTCAATTATGGCAGTGACGGTAACATAAACTAGGGGTGAAATGAAATACATTTGATCTTTTGAATTATGATAGAATGAATACAACCTGTCAAAGAAAAACCATATGAAACGTACTTTCACTTCTGCAGTTGAGCGGGCCGATTTGAGTATTGCCGCACATCGCCATCATTCCGGCATTTTGCACCCCCAACAACTTGCGAATGAGGAACTGCTATGGAACTTGAAGACAAATAAAATGTTGTTTTCGTTGAAACTCCAAGTCACAGTGCATGCACTCAATCACAATTCTAATGATTTGTAACAATTCAAGCCGTTGGCTAAATGCTGAATTTCGCTTGTCGATCAGATGACAGCTGGCCGTGCATACTACGCTGACGGCACTAGAATTAATTCCTCTTGCTAACTATAGCCTATTTGTACTTCCCTACGAACGCCACTGCAGGCGCATACACCACTGTGGATATTTATTACCTTGTCTCCCGATGGTGCAGCTTCGGAGAGGACGACAGCCGCTAGTACAATTACTCCGAGCAGGAATTCACAGCGCCGGGGAACCAACATGGCGGCGGTGGCGGCAGCGGCAGCTGTGGCAGGGGATACCTCGTTCTAGCAGCGCCAGAGGTCGGTCGTTAGATTCCTCGTCGGTCTCTCATCTGTCTGAAATATAAAAAAATGCACAGCTTCCTGTTTAGAACGTTGCTTCTTCCCCTTTAACCAAGCAATTTAAATATGCAGCGACAGCATGTGTTCGCTGGATACTAAACAATGAAACGCTGCATTATGCTAGAGGATAACAAAATTGTCTGATACGGAGACAAACGTGTACATTTCTGTGATTACAGTGATGTCACATTGCTTTTCTACTAATGCTTCGGCAACGTATTCTATTGTGAAAAAAAAAAAACATAGCGAAAAACAACGGACCGGACGAAGAAGGACACATACAGAGCGCTCTGTACTTGTCCTTTATTGTCTGGTCTCACGTTTTTCGTGCTTTTTTTATTCACTATGTCGTACCAACACGAACAAGCAACCACTTTAGCATCATTTACAGTGCGTTCAGAAACATCAACGCCATATTCCACAATTAAGACAGGTATACAGAGCTCTATTTCCCAATGCAAATGTTAACCGCATTGGACATAACAATGTGTGATTATGAACAAAATTTCGGTCACAGGGGTTTCCACTAGGAGTGTACGAATATTTAAAATGGTCACCCGTCACAGGAGGCCAAAAATAGGGTATCTTTCTATCTTTTCTCAAGCGCTACATGTGTATAGGAATGTCCACTTCTATAGTATATTCGAAATATTTGAATACCACACAATTTGATATCATACATTAAAATTATCCAAAGATAACGTTACTATGTCGAGATTTTGGCAAACTTGAATGCGCAATAAACACATCAGTTGCATGTTAAAACATCAACTTCATTGTGTTTAGTGAAATTCTGTTTTCGTTGTCTCGGAAAATGGTGCGACGCACAGTGATGGTGCGGCTTCCCGAACTTCCCTATAGTGCGTATTCATCCTTCATTACAACATTAAATAATAAAAAATGTTGTTCTACCGAGCAGCAATTTTATGCAATTCATAAGTTTTATGTTTGTTCTTTTGCTGTGAACATCAGTCTTTACGTCTGGTTGGTGTGTTGAAAATATTTTTCTCTTTTTTTGCAAAGTGAACAGTTTTACCTAGTCGTATTCCAAATAATTTGTCAGGTATATGATCTTAACATGGTTTTCACTATTCTCATTTGCATTGAAATTGAAAACTTTACGTTCCCGTGCTTCTATAGTTCCCATTCACTATTGGCGTATATATTGCAGTGTATTAAATGAAGCCACCAATCTTGTCAGGAAGAATTAAACTAAAGCTATTCTTGCAAGGAACACCAAATAGACCCGTGAAGAAACCTGAAGCAGAAAATAGCTTCGACTTAGCTCGGCTAAGACCGGTTATATAAGCTAAAGCATGTTCGCTTGGTCATAGATGTTTCCATTTTCAGCTGAAGCTCGGTTTGCCAATTGAACAATAGACCGCGTCGGAAATTTTATACGGCGTGCACTGACTACCAATGTTTCGTCGTTTCCTACATCGACGCGAGATACGCAGGCCTCTTGACCACCCGTGCTCCCTTCATTCATAGGCACGTAAGGAACATGTCTGTGAGATGAACTCACAACAAGGTTAGGCGATTGTTCCTCAATACCAGCTCCTAAAAATACGCTACCTGAACCCGTCACCACACTACGGCGTTTATGTGGCATTATAATAGGATGCAAAATACTAAATTTAATTTTCATGGGTTCTTGAATGATGTCGCCAATAACTTTTTTTAGTTTTCAAAAAGTCGCGAAAGATTTTGAAGCCTTGGCGGCGCTTAGTTAGATTATTCTTCGAGAGACTGGAAGCAAAATCGTCAGTGTCAAAAATAATCACTGCTAACAAGTTTCCAAAGCAAAGAATCACAGCATGTCCACGGAGTGAATGATGATGAGCGGGGCGAAGCGTCCGTCAGCCCGTGTGTGCTTCTGTCCGTCCGTTCGTTTTTGCTTCCGTCTGTCCGCGTGGCCATCCGTGCGTCCATCCATGTTTCTGTCAATCTGTCCGTGCGTCCGTCCGTGAGCCAATCTATTGGTCTGTGCGTCCGTTCGTACATATATCCGCCCATCTATCGGTCCTGCCGTCTGCTAGTCTATCCGTCCGTTCATCCGCACTTCCGTCCGTGCGTTCATCTAGCGAAAACTCCAAGTACTGCCATCTCCCATCTCGTATCCCCGGTGGCACATACCCGCTCTATTGCGGGTATGTGCCACCGGTGGCTACCTACTACTACATACATCGGATGATGTACAGACCCAAGCCTCAAGGAGCTTCGCCTCTAAAAGTTGAATTTGTGAAACAATACAGTTTCTGAAGTTAGAATGCATAGACAGTTAGCGCCAAGGTACAATGTTAATATGTATGTAATTTTAATTGTTTATGGGAAGCTGTACGATATACTCGTGTTCGAACGGAATCAGTTCCGTCTGGAATATGTGAACTGCGGCTATTGTTATCTTTTGTTTCTGAAGGAGTTCTCGTGGCACGCGTAATCTCAATTTATTGAGAACACTAAACTAGTACTTTCGTAAGACAGCGCCATTGCCACTACCAATGGGGAAAGGCTTTCTATTCATCAAAACAATACTTGTCACTTAGTGCTTCGAGAGCACGCAATGAGCACATTTTTTTCGGGTCTCGTATTCACTAGAGCTATACCAGTAACCTCGATGGTAGATACACATTATGCAGTGGAAGCATCAAATGGGTGAACACGCCCCGCCGCGGTGGTCTAGTGGCTAAGGTACTCGGCTACTGACCCGCAGGTCACGGGTTCGAATCCCGGCTGCGGCGGCTGCATTTCCGATGGAGGCGGAAATGTTGTAGGCCCGTGTGCTCAGATTTGGGTGCACGTTAAAGAACCCCAGGTGGTCGAAATTTCCGGAGCCCTCCACTACGGCGTCTCTCATAATCATATGGTGGTTTTGGGACGTTAAACCCCACATATTAATTAAAATTAAATGGGTGAACAGGAGCCGGAGTGAGCCGGAGCTGCACAACAAGAACTTGAGGTGAAATCACAGAAAAATATCAATAAACGTGTTTATTGAAGGCGGTGATTCAGATATCCTTTTTATTAAAGGTTATTCTCTTTACAACAAGCACCATTCTTGCGGCCGTCTTCGGGAAACATGCCTCGCTAGTGACAACCCCACGAAGGACAGCTGTCTTTTGGCCTTTGCACAAAGGCGAAAGAACGCACAGCTGCTGTCCTAGCAGTCGTCTCCGGCTGGGAGCGACGAACCGCATTCAGCATCTCAGCACAGATGCACACAAAGCCAACGAAAGTGAAATATGCATGAGGAAACCATGTGGTTACTGCCTCGTTTTGCTGTGCGCATCTCTACTGCAGAAACTGCACTCATTCAGGAAACCGTCAGTGTTCTGCACATAACTACAGCGCAAGACGACTGAAAACTAAAGCAAAATACCAAACGGAGCTGCAGCTAAGTAAAAATAGCTTTTGTAGTTATGGGTACCTGTGTATAGACGCGGATTAGACCAACAAATACAAAGAGTTGTAGGCTTGTTAAGCTGTCCGAGGACAGCTTTTTTTTATATATGATTCGCCCATCTGTATCTCACCTAGATGGTAAATAAACTTATTAGTACTATTAATATTATTATTACTATTCTCATACAGAAAGAAAGTATAGCTATACAAACAAACACCTATGCCAGCCGCTCGGCTACCATCTCCAGCGCCTATGATGTGTATGCACATTTACTTACGCAGATGGCGTTCTTTTTGGGATTCAAAGCTCACACGGAGGACCATGCTTCTTACCCATCTAGCATTTGCCAACAAAACATGCATCAACGACTTATACATGCACGCCCAAAACTAAGGTGGCAAGCAATGGATTTCAATACAGCTAGAACCATTAAAACATCGCAGGGAGGACCCCATAAATATGCTTCGTTTCATCAGAGCTATACAGCAGGTATCTTGAAAAACCAATGGGGACCAATAATGACCATTGGTTAGGTAGTTGGAAGCTACTACGTTGGCTGACTACTGACTACGGCAGTGAAAACGTTGGCACAGATCCCTTGCGTTGGCTAGCACCCTTTGCGTATAAGACCTTGCGTAAGCAGTGTTATATACGCAAGGGATGTCAGCGTAGAATGTAAGAAAGTATGTAAGCATTCCAGTTAGCATGGCAGGCATTCCTTGCGTAAGCATTCCAGGCTTACCCCGTATATGGAAAGGAATTACCAAGAAACAAGGAAGAAGGTTTACGCGTTAACTGCAACGGCTAAGCGCTATAGGCGCAATTCAGAATATGACGAGATAAATGGGTATGCAGAAAAAATTGTTCTGGCGAATATGCTTGGAGGTCATCCTGAATCAGTTCTGACATGCTACTGAAGGCTGGCGATCAAAAATGGAGCGAGGATACCTTGAGAGAAAGGAGACGTGTGCAACGTATATGCGTGACGAAGGCACCAAGTGACCTCGAGAAGCGAAGACTCGCTGCTCTTGTCAACCTAGACATCTTTCGCACAAGAATTCTGTGGGCAGTCTAGTGACCATAACGTCGGCAATCAGGGTCCGGCCGAGCTATCATAAATACGTTTCGTACAAGTGAAGGTTTCGCTTTAATATCAATTCGGATGTCTCTCAGGCCGCTTTCATTTTTCGTTTCCGTATGAATTAGGTCTACACCTCAAATTAACGTTACCGTCAATAACATAATGTACACTTGTTTCACTTTGTTCGCTCCTGACACCGCCGCAACTGACGGGAAATTGAGGTGTTCTGTTTTCATTATGCTCAAATTTTGCCGATTCTGAAGAGTTTTTGTGTTTGTTTTGCTTATTTCTACTTTTGGCATTCCTTGAAAATGTGTAATGATGTAACTAGTTTTTTTTGCATTTTAAAGCATACTTCTTATTCTGCATCTTTAATTTACGCATTTGTGCCCGTTTACCTGTATAGATGACTTCATGGATGCTGCCACTTTTTCTGCTCATTATTGCTGGAATGTGGAGCTAGTCAAACTGCGTTTTTTCCGCATTCCTCACCACACCCTCGACACCAGA